CCATCTGTTCCGAGCCATTTGTCCATGTAAAACTGTCACCATTCCGAGCTGATGACTGACAGGTGAGGCCAGGCTTGTTCATTTCTCATCTCATAGTCAGAAATTCTCCTACATGTCCTTCTCACTAAAACAGACGGCTTCAGAGACACAAAGCGGTTCTGTATTCAGAACCATTTTCCTCTATTTGGTTTGTTGCGTGGCTCATTAAAATACTTAGCTCACCCTCACTTAGCCCAAGAGTGCAGTCAACATCCATGGTTATCTTGATGGATGTGGTGGAATCTAAGGTGGGGGGAGACACTGGACCAGGCGACCCTGGAGGTCTTCCCATCAGTACTGAGATGCAGTCACCTCCAGGGCTGAATGGGTATCAGGTTGTCCACGGCCACAGGAAGGCTGGGTGCCCAGGGCAGATGTCTCTTATCCTGCCATCCTTTGATGGAATCCAGTTCACGTCCCGGGCGAGCTGATGTGCCTTCAACAGCTTTGTGTGTGCTCAATGAAGAGACTGGTGGTGGGAATTATTGAATGAAAAAATAATGTAGCTTAAGCCTCATGAATTTTTATTTTTTACTCCATGGGATTCCAGCACCAGAAGACCGGTTCTACATGAAATAAAGTTTTCTATGAAGAATTACTGCTGCTCCCCAAGCTAGTTCTCACAAAAGTCATCATAGAATATTTGAGACCCAAATACCCACTCCAGATGCTTGAATTCAAAAGACAAACAGCATGTTAATAAGTAGAATAGGGCAAAGTTATTTCCTTAAAGGCTTTGGTGCTCCAGGCATTATCTCTGCTAATTCGAGTGTGGAAAAACTATATTGTGATTCTAGACTCAGAACAGAATTTTTTTTTCTGTTTAATGTTACCATGACTTTTTTGTGATACTGAAGTGTGCAGACCATGCTGAAGGGCTCAGGAGGTCAATGTCATGGCTAAATTGGGGCAACAGGGAAGAGGCATGAGCTGGCTCTTCCTCTACCTGATGTCCTTAGGAACTGAGAGCTGGAAGACAAAAGCTCTCTTTCTGTGATTTTGTAATATTTTTTCCTCTTTCCTTTGCTATGAAAACCCTTCTGTAACGGAGTTTGGTTCTTAATGCGAGGAGTCGACTCACTGGAGAAAACCCTGATACTGGGAAAGATTGAGGGCAAGAGCAGAAGGGCACAGCAGAGGATGAGATGGTTGGATAACATGACTGAGTCAATGGACAGGAGTTTGAGCAAACTCCGGGAGATAATGAAGGATGGGGAAGCCTGGCGCACTACAGTCCACGGGATCCCAAAAAGTCAGACACAACTTAGCGATTGAATGACAACTATATAAAAAGATTTTACTTTGGTGTTTGTATGCTCAGTCATGTCTGACTCTTTGCAACGCCATGGACTGTACCCCGCCAGACTCCGCTGTCCATGGGATTTCCCAGGCAAGAATACTGGAGTGGGTAGCCATTTCCTCCTCCAGGGGAAAGTACCATCTGCCAAACACGGAAAAGGCAAATGCATTCTGGGGATGAGAAGAAAATCCAGATGTGCCCTCCCTAGAGCAGAGTCTGCAGGATCCAGGCAAGGACCCAACATTTGCAGGCAGTGACAGGCACAGTGATGGGAGGTTTGATGGAGAAACCATGGCAGCAGTAGTCTCTTGTTTCATAGGTGGATGCCCTGCCGTTTTCACTTCTCCAGCCTGTAGAGTGTGAAATCGGGAAGTTTTTAAAAATATTTCTCTCTTTCCACATAGCAGAGAAGAAGGCTTATTCTCATCGTCATGCTTGAATCTGGATCAGTTTTGTGAGGGCCCACTCGTGAACTTCCTTGGCGGCTCAGATGATAACGAATCTGCCTGCAGTGTAGGAAACGCAGGTTTGAGTCCTCGGTGGGGAAGATCCCCTGGAGAAGGGAATGGCTACCCACTCCAATATTCTTGCCTGGAGAATCCCATGGACAGAGGAGTCTGGTGGGCTACAGTCCATAGGGTTGCAAAGAGTCAGACACGACTGAGCGACTTTCACTTTCTTTCACTTCACTCATGAGCTACCTCCCTTGACACCTCATTGAAGATGCTCCCAGCTGTTTCCTACATTGCAATGAACTTGTGACACAAAGAACAAAGTAGAGATACTGTGTATCTACATGACACAGTTCAGTTCAGTCGCTCAGTCTTCCGTGGCTTCCCTGTCCATCACCAACTCCCAGAGTTTACTCAAACTCATGTCCATTGAGTGAGTGATGTCATCCAACCATCTCATTCTCTGTCATCCCCTTCTCTTCCTGCCTTCAGTCTTTCCCAGCAACAGGGGTTTTCAAGTGAGTTAGTTCTTCACATCAGGTGGCCAAAGTATTGGAGCTTCAGTTTCAGCATCTGTCCTTCCAATGAATATTCAGGACTGATTTCCTTTAGGATGGACTGGTTGGTTCTCCTTGCAGCCCAAGGGACTCTCAAGAATCTTCTCCAGCACCAAAGTTTAAAAGCATCAATTCTTCGGCACTCATCTTTCTTTATAGTCCAATTCTCACATCCATACATTACTACTGGAAAACCATAGGTTTGACTAGACAGAATTTTGCTGTCAAAGTAATGTCTCTGCTTTTTAATATGCTATCTAGGTTGGTCATAACTTTCCTTCCAAGGAGTAAGCATCAAAATTTCATGGCTGCAATCACCATCTACCGTGATTTTGGAGCCCAAGAAATAAAGTCTCTCAAGGTTTCTGTTGTTTCCCCATCTATTTGCAATGAAGTGATGGGACCAGATGCCATGATCTTACTTTTCTGAATGTTGAGTTTTAAGCCAACTTTTTCACTCTCCTCTTTCACTTTCATCAAGAGGCTCTTTAGGTCTTCTTCACTTTCTGCCTTAAGGGTGGTGTCATCTGCATATCTGAGGTTATTGATATATCTCCTGGCAATCTTGATTCCAGCTTGTGCTTCATCCAGCCCAGCATTTCTCATAATGTACTCTGCATATAAGTTAAATAAGCAGGGTGACAATATACAGCCTTGATGTACTCCTTTCCAAATTCGAAACCAGTCTCTTATTCTATGTCCAGTTCTAAGTGTTGCTTCTTGACCTGCATACAGATTTCTCAAGAGGCAGGTCAGGTTGTCTGGTATTCCCATCTCTTTCAGAATTTTCCACAGTTTGTTGTGATACAGACAGTCAAAGGCTTTGGCATAGTCAATAAAGCAAAAGTAGATGTTTTCCTGGAACTTTCTTGCTTTTTCAATGATTCAATGGATGTTGGCAATTTGATCTCTGGTTCTTCTGCCTTTTCTAAATCCAGCTTGAAGTTCATGGTTCACGTACTGTTGCAGCCTGACTTGGAGAATTTTGAGCATTACTTTGCTAGCGTGTGAGATCAGTGCAATTGTGCGGTAGTTTGAACATTCTTTGGCATTGCCTTTCTTTGGGATTGGAATGAAAACTGACCTTTCCCAGTCCTGTGGCCACTGCTAAATTTTCCAAATTTGGAAACAGATACTGCATATTCAGAGAAGAATTATAAGATAACCTAGGTCCCTACTCTCAACATGAAGGATTTCATATGGATTGCCTTCCAACTTTCTAAAAGTTAGCTTCACCGCAACAGCCCTTTAGGACACCTTCAGACAAAGTACAACACATGTCCACAGGGACACATGCTTCAAGGTAGGCTATGCTGGGTCCACTGTGATTAACTGCTAGGTTGGAAAAGCTTCATTCCACAAAGGCGTAGTAGATCACTCCCCACTTTGTGCCCTGGTGATGATTTGTCCAAATAATGAACTTAGTGTTAAGTCACATTCTACAATGTGCCTTTGTTTTCAAGTGCCTTGAGGACAGAAACTATTGTATCCACCTTTGTCCCCACAGTGGTAAGATAGTGATGTTCAGTGGAGGGGTGATTTTGCCACTCAGGAAACACTCAGCAAGGCCCAGAATCATTTTTTGTTGTAGCACCTTGGGCAGGATGTGTCCTGCTGGCATCTGATGCTTAGAAGCTGGGAGACTTGCTACACTACCCAGGACTGCACTATCACCACCCCTCAAATATCCAGCCCCGAATGTCAGCAGTGTCAAGGTTGAGCGCAACTGATCACGCAGAATACATTTTAATAACCGCTCATTTACTTTTTCCAAAAATAACCCATTACAGAGTTAAAACAACAAATCAAATCATGTGCTCTTTTATCATTACATTTGCCCTGGAACAATCAGCTCATGTCATAAAATTCTCACAGTCTTGGAACACTAACAGGGAAAAAGTTTCGAGCCCTGTATTATCCTGAAGATGGTTGGTTACCGATGAGAATGGTGCTAAGGGTTCTCTATTACCTTCCTTTCAGCTCTTGACCTACTGTGTACATGGATGTGTAAGCATACTTACTTTGCTGTTATAGTTTGTCATGCTCTGTGGTTTATCACATATGATTTATCGCATAACTGTTTTACATTTTAGGTGGCATTAAGTTGTTCAATAATTGCATTATGAAGAACTACTACTTAGGAGTCTCACGTTGATGATTGTACTATGTCATTATAGCACAAATGATGTTTGTTTGTTTTTAAAGAGTTTTCTGTAAAAAATGCCTTGCAAGTGTTAAATAGAATCACACCTATAGGCATAATTAAACAATTCCTGGTAGAGATGAGGATTGAGAAGCTTTCACTGCTCAGGTACTGGAGGAGATCTCCTCCAGCCCTGGAGGAGTCTGGACCATTCACTTGTGATGAAGCTGAAAGCCAAATAGACCAGGGAAATGCAAATGCCATCACTAGAAGGCAAATCATTCCTTAAGTATCTCTTTCTTATTTGACTGCCTTGGGACTAAATTGAGGAAACAATGATAGCAACAGATGTCCACCACATTCCTACCTCATTGCTTTTGTTGTTCAGAGCTGTGTTCTAAAGGAATTCTCGCTGAAGAAAAAAGAAAACTCAGAGAATCCAAACAGCCCGAAAATCCTTAGCTACATCATTTTTTTAAGTAAGTGATTTTTAAAATTTTCTTCTGAGAATGAGGGCATCTCAGCTTGTCAGCTACCTTGTTTTGACAGTGATACAAATTCTCTTTGGGGTTTTCATAAATGGCATCATCGTGATTGTGAACGGTACTGACTTGATCAAGCAGAGAAAGTTGATCCCGCTGGATCTCCTTGTTTCCTGCCTGGCAATTTGCAGGATGGGAATTCAGCTGGCCTTGCTCCACATTAACCTGGCTCTTCTTTCCTTGATCACACCCCCCCAGTTTACTGAGATGCTGGTAGTTTTCACTTTTGTGAACGATTTGGGACTTTGGTTGGCCACCTGGCTCAGTGCCTACTACTGCACCAAGATCGCTACTGTCGCTCACCCTCTTTTGTTCTGGTTGAAGACGAAGATCTCCAAGTTGGTTCCTTGGCTGATTCTTGCGTCCCTGCTGTATGCATGTGGTACTTCTGCTGTGCACGTCAAATATAAGTGGGTATTTTATGGAGAAGACTTCCTGGGCCTTTTCTTCCCCAACATAACAGCTCCCATCGAAGTAACCCCTACTTTACAGCTTGCCTTTCTGTTTGCTGAGTTTGTATTGCCATTGTTCATCTTCCTGATTTCTTCTCTGCTCTTGATATTTTCCTTGGGGAGACATGCCTGGCAGGTGAGAAACACATGGACAGGACCCAGAAACCCTAGCACACACGTACACATCAGGGCCTTTCTCTCCATCCTGTCCTTTCTGGCCCTTTATCTCTGCCACTACCTGATCGTGGCTTTGATCTTTCTTCAGATTTTTAAACTTAGAAGCTTCCTATTTCTGTTCTGCACCGTCGTGGTTGGTTCATACCACTCCGTCCACTCTATTACTTTAATTTTAGGAAATCCGAAAATGAAACAAAATGCAAAGGCGTTGCTCCTCCTCAGAAAGTGCCGTCAGTGAGAGAGAACTTTGATCCAGTCAAAGCATTGGCAGCTCAGTGAATTAGCATTAGCGGAAGCTACTCGGCCGCCCTCAGCCAAATGAAGTCTGCTCACAAATTTACGAAGCATCATATAAAAGACTATTTTTTCAACTTGAGACACTTTTGTGGATGCTCTCCTTTTTCAAAAGGTTACATTGATTATCAAAGTGTAAAATGTGTGGCTGGATTATGTCAATGTCAGTATCCCTGCCAGGTCTTACCTCATTGGAGAAGCCTGGGTGAGTGGCACAGGGATCTTTCTATATTATTTCTTACACGCATGCATGCTCAGCTGCTCAGTTGTGTCCGACTCTTTGCCACTCCGTGGACTGCAGCCCACCAGGCTCCTCTGTCCATGGGATTCTCCAGGCAAGAATACTGGAGTGGATTGCCATGCCCTCCTTCAGGGGATCTTCCCCACCCAGAGATCAAACTCACGTCTCTTATGTCTCCTGTATTGGCAGGCGGGTTCTTTACCACTAGTGCCATCTGGGAGACCCTTTTATTATTTCTTATGACTGTTTACAAATCTGCAGTTATCTCATAATGAAAAGTTTAAAGAAAAAGGGAAGCACCTGTTGGAACTTGTGATGGCAGAAGGACGCATGAATGTCCTAGGGACTCTGTGTGTCTAATGCTGATTTTAGATGATTTATCCTGACTGAAAGCATTGATTGCTCATTTCTTATCTACCTGGATATTATTTCTGCACTGCTTTTTAGACTCACAGACAACAGAACCATTTTCTTCATCAGATCAGACAGTAGGCCGAGGACAGGCTGGATTTCTCTCTCCCTCTAAGTAGGCTCACCTACTCCAAGCTGCCAAGAACCTAGGTGCCATGGTGGCATGATAAAAAGGCAGACAGGTGGAAGAGAAAGAGGAAACAGAGGCTGAACCCTCACTTTCCATTTCACCTGATTGGATACACTGAACAGACAATAGCTTGCAAAGATATTTCATTTTTACTTGTGTGCTCTGCTTTGGAGCCCTTTCAACTGACGGTGGCAATGTGGAACTCCTACCACACTGCTTGTTTCCCAATGAGGCAACATCAGGTGGGTGGGCTGGGGGCTTCTCCATCTGCTTGAAGTCACAGATACAGTTTCTAACTAGCTGATGATGTCAGATGCTAAGATACATGTGTATATTCCTAAAACACCTTTAGAACTCTTTTGTTTTCAGTGGAAGCAAAAGATGTTCTTTATTTTGGCCAGCTTGCAGCTTATGTGTAATGATAGAAAATGTGTTAGGTTTGGATTTGCCAGTCATCAACAACATGGATTCAAATGTTGGTTTATAAACCTAAGATATACAGATCTCATTGTACTAAACAGAAGTCTTTGCTTCAGAAGATCCTTGGATGTGGGAAAGCTCTGAGGTTACTCTTGTTCTTCCTATGGAGGAAGGAGCAAAGCAACAGACTTTGTCTTCTTGGAATTTCCTTCCCCCACGTCCCAGTGGGTGGGAAGGTTTATAGCTAATTGTGTATTCAGGTGGCCAGCTCTGGAAAGAGCAGTTGTGCCCTGGAGATGAAAATGTGATTCCTCACTGTCCCCTCCAAAGGACTGGGGACAGTGAGGAATCACATTTTCTGGACATGTCAAGTTCAGATGCCTTCTCCTTGAAATAAGGTGAGAAAAGCAGAAGAGATTTCAAATATTTGGGGGGATGGGAAACCTGTAAGTATACAAGTCTCATGTGATTGTTTTACTCAGATGCCAAGTTCTCATTCAATTTCATGCAAATCTTGCTTTAATAATGCTGGGTAATGAGATGAATATGAAGGTATGATTGTTTGTATGCTTAAAAGTTACCAAGAGTTATTAAAAAAAAACAGATGCTAATGCAAACTCTTCCAGAAACACTTTCTCAGTCTACTTTCAAATATTGTCTAGCTCTCATGTTGATGGCATTGGGTTGGACACTAATTGCCCCATCACTGGTTGAAGCAAAACAGACTCAGTCTTTTGACTGTTTGGAGCAGCCTTTATGTGGACAAATTGTTCTAGTCCTGCTCACTTTGCATGGGATTAGCCTCTGTCGTGGTACGGCATTGTCCTCTACCCAATCCCTGAGATGGGGCTGGACACAGTCACCCCAGGACCTTGCTGTGGGATCACATGCCCATGGGTCAGGCCAGAGGACTGCTGACCACAGGACAAGGCGCTGTGCACTCTTCCTTCACGTCCTGTGGCTCCCCTCCTCAGTCGGTAGCAGAGGAGATGGGCAGGGAGACGGGCTCTTACAATGAGGCCAGGGGCAGCGAGAGCATCCCATTCCGTTTCAGAGAGAGGTCGGACGAGCACCCTCAAACCAGGAGACACACATCGCCACATGGCCACCCATTCTCCATTCTGAGGTTGACCTGTTCGGTGCCCAAGCTTCAGGGATTCTCCATGGTTTCGTGACCACAAGACAGTGACTCTAACCAAGAAGACTAAATCTGTGTGCTTACATCAACAGTTTTCTCAAAATACAAACGCTGTAACAATTTGGATATGAGGAAAGAAACGCAACAATTCTAAAACTCTCCCAAAGTAAGAATGCCTTTTAAATCCTCAGTAACTAATTCAAATGTAGTAACTGCTTGTAGTTAGAATAATCCAGACCAGAGTAGAAGGAAGACATGAAATTTAATGTCTACGCATCTTCTTTAGGGCTTTCCAGGTGGTGCTATTTGTAAAGAATCTGCCTGTTAATAAGGAGATGCAAGAGATGCAGGTTTGATCCCTAGGTTGGGAAGAACCCCTAGAGAAAGAAATAAATGGCAACCCACTTCAATATTCTTGCCCAGAAAATTCCATGAACAGAGGAGCCTGGCAGACTGCAGTCCACAGTGTCTCAAAGAGTCAGACACAAGTGACAGACTGACACACACATCTTCTTCAGGCTAAGGACCACCCATTCTAGACGCGTTAGACAGTTTGAACATTATGCCCCGTTGTATGCTTAAGTACAGTCATTCTTGTCAAACTGTGCTCTAATTTTAGGCTTGGGAAACATGATTTCTGCAGCTTTAGGGCATGTGGACCTACATCTCTTGGGGTGAGAGGAGGGATAGATGGTCAGACATATCCAAGAAGGAAAGAAACCAAACAGATCATCCAAGCCAGCACTGGCAATCAGTGGGATAGCAGATGCTGCAGACAGATGGAGCCCATATTGGAGAAAAATCCAAATGGCGGGGGCAGGAGACCCACCTGTTTCCAAAGGGTCTTGCTGCAGTATGAATTTGGAATCAAGCTAGTGATTGTATTCGTACAAACTTAGCACCAGCATGCATGCGCTTAGTAGCTCAGTCACGTCCGACTCTTTGTGACCCTTTGGACTGTAACCTGCCAGGCTCCTCCGTCCATGGGATTTTTCAGGCAAGAATACTGGAGTGGGTTGCTATACCCTTCTCCAGGGGATCTTCCCGACCCAGAGATCAAACTTGCATCTCCTGTGTCTCCTGCATTGCAGGTGGATTCCTTACCCTCTGAGCCACTGGGGAAGCCCTGTGTCAGTGATATATTCCTTTTAAAAGAATTATTCTTTTGCTACCTATTGATTGTCAACTGTCATCTGAAACCTTTATGCCAGGAGAAAGGGTAGGGGCTGAGAAAATCAGTCCCAAAGAGCTGAGAACATTAAGCTTTTGAGAAAGAGTCAACATAAATGCAGATTGCGTGTGGGCCTTTGCTTCACTGTCCTCTTACATAAAGTGAGCATCTTTCTCTGTCTCCTTGTACATTAGACCACTCGATGCACCACTCCATACCTTTGAGAGAAGAAATAGTGCTTGTTTTTGACATTTGGCTTCACATTTGTGACATCTGCATCTACTTAATTGTTCTGCTTGGGGGTCAGGTTGGTGATTGTATCCTGTAGTTTAAAACATTCAGATCAACACATCGTGGGTTTCCGTTTTCCTCTCTGGTGCTCTATTTGTTTCTGTTTTAAATGTTTGTCCACAAGATCATCTCTGTAACTCAGTTTAGAATAAAATTATCTTCTGAAACTTCTGAAAATATGTCTCCTTTAAAAGTGAAGACTTAGGGGTGGGAGAAATTGGGAGATTAGGACTGATACATATGCACTATTGATACTATGCATAAAATCGGTAACTATGGAGAACTTACTGTACACAATGAGCTCTCTGCTTACTGCACTGGGGGGACCAAGATGGGAAGGAGGTCCAAAGGGGAGGGCATGTGTGTATTCGCTGGGGCTTCCCTGGTGGCTCAGAGGGTAAAGCATCTGCCGGCAACGTGGGAGACCCGGGTTCGATCTGAGACCCAGGTTTGATCCCTGGGTCAGGAAGATCCCCTGGAGAAGGAAATGGCAACCCACTCCAGTACTCTTGCCTGAAAAATCCCATGGATGGAGGAGCCTGGTAGGCCACACAGTCCATGGGGTCGCAAAGAGTCGGACACAACTGAGCGACGTCACTTACAGCTGATTCATCCTGTTATAGAGTAGAAACTAACACAGTCTTATAAAGCAACTACAGGCCAATAAAAATTCCTGTAAAAAGAAATTAAAAATAAAAATTAAGCCTGAGGGTTCATTTTATTTCAATCTCAACATTTCTGAGGCAAACAACACATTTCAACTCTTTCTCAATTGTTGAGGTTGGTGTGAATGTTCTTAAGTGAAACCTTGAGTTTTTATTAAACAAACTCTCTCCTTCCTACAGATGTGCTTAAGTAACATAATATAAGCACAGGGTAATGTGTACCTGGGCAAAATTTGAATATAGGAGTATCTAAGTCCCCATAGCTAGACTGCGCTCAGCACTTGGAAAGCATCTCTGAATGACCTAGATTCCAGAACCACTGGGAACACTTCGGATTCTTCTGAAGATAAGCAGGTGGAAAAGAATGGGATAAAATGTAGGTGAGCTAGGATATTGTATTACTAAATAGATGGAAGGTCCTCTGGCCACAAGTTCACTCATTTGGACAGCAAATGCTATGCTTGTGATTGAAGACTG